ACCCCACGGCCTCACATCCCGAACCATCCCCTACGGAGGAACCCAATCCAAACAGGCAAGTAGTCCAAGGGGTCACCAGCATCACAAGACACTTGACAGGGAACGTTTATGCCAGAAGGGACCGAACACTCACTCCAGCAAGAAGAAGGTCAAGGCCGGCCGAGGGCAGGTCTGAGATGACAGAGCTGTGACCTTCATCACATCACTCTTAAGAACCACACTTAACAGTCATGGTGGTAATGACATTAAGCACTAAAAAAAAAAGTGTATAATACAAAGTATTTATGTATATAATAGGCATTCAAGAAAATTTAAAAAGCAGTTATCTTTATAGCTAGGCTTGGCAAGATAATGAGATTCTACACACCAAACGGCATAAGAACATAAGGATTAGAGAACTCAGAGCCCATGAGCTCAAGATAAAATTCTTACTTCAGGAACAGAAAGTTGGGTCCCATTTTCTCAACTAAACTTTTACAGGGAAAGTTTCAGTAATTTATATAATCTATAATTCAAGGGTCAATGACCCTACTTGGGGAGGCGGGGGAAGAGTGGTCACTCAGGTCACACAAAAAGAAAACTTTACTTTCTTTTAGGGAAATATGAGTTGGACTAATCCACTCTGTATATTAGCAGTAGGCAACAAATTTTATTCCAGAGCTAGGAAACACTAAGAAACCAGCAAATTTTGATGGCCTAGGGTGATTCATGTCACCAGTTTTATGGAGGATGGCGGGCTGGCAGGGAAAAGAAGGGAGAAAAGACTGGGAAGAAGGGGAAGGTGGTGAAAAATAAGAGAAAACTAGGTGGAGGGAAAGAAAATGACACAGCAAATACTAGAGAAGGACAGAGAGTCAGCCTGAGAGCTGACGGCAGGAACCCCTGGTGAGAGGTCAGCGTTGGCCGCGCTGTTACTGGTCACCTCTGTGTACTGCCCACCCTGCCGCACTAATCCTTAAATCTTCACGGGGAAACCTGGGCTCACCAGAGCGAAGATGGATTACTTCCTGGGTACAAAAGCGCTGAGAAAGGAATACCAGACACTTCCAAAATCTCAAGTCTAAATTCTACAGCCTCCATTCTAGGTAAAACTAGTTTCTATTTCTCCTTTACTAGGGCTGGCTGGATTTTCCACTTCTAACAGCCTAGTTCACACAATTCTCCAATTCAACCAATGTCTGTGGAAGGCCTACTGTGTGTGTGTGGGGGGGGGGGGGGGCGCGTGCGTGAACACAGCAGTGATCAAAACAGAGGGGCTGCCCCTTCACAGGGCTGATGAGTGACACAGGGGGAGAGGGCGGACCCACCTTTAGTTGTTCCCTGCGTGTCTCCAAAAAGGGAGAGGGGGGAGCAGAAGGTCTCCTTGGACACTCCCGCCCCCACACTCAGATCTTTCAAGGGCAACTCAGAGTCCTAGCCAAGGAAAAGGAAAACGGAGTAAATCTAAAGACTGACAAGAAAATATTAAATGTTACAGTTAAAGTGCACCCTGATTCAAAACAAAACAAAACTGTAAGTGTTCAAACTGAACACAGCATTCATTATCTGTAACCACAGAGACTATAACTCCTGAAATGAATAAACAGCCAGCGTATTTTTAGTAATACTTGAACGAGTTCATAAAGATGAGCCAGCCTCGTGTATTACGAGATCCTGAAGTACCTTTGGAACCATTAAGGAGCAAATTATACTGACTGAGCTGCACTGCTCAGGGTATTTCTTGCACTTTGAATACTGTTATCTCACGTTCGGAATCATGACTTAACATGCGGCCTGCCTAAGATATACCTCAACAAATGGGCTCCATAATCAAACACATTTGGCAAGTGTTGCACATTCTTGGCTTGGAGGTTCACAGTGTGTTTTAGGAAATTACGTTTTCTGACAAATCCTGTATTAAAGAAATCTGACAAATTTAGCCTGAGCCAGTATTTCCCAAACTAACTTGACCACGGATCCTTTATCCATTTAATGCTTATTAACGGTCCACAAATTGCTTCATGGAACACATGTGGGATACACTACAGGTGTAGGGGATGCACTGCTTAATTACTGTGAAAATGCAATTGATTATCAATCTCCCAAGCATTCTGATAAATTGGTTTTTACTACATGGTACAGAAATACAAAAACTTCCCCAGTGAATTTCTGACTGGAATTCATTCAGTAAGCTGACTTACTATATTTTAATATGAAGTATTTTTTAATGAGCTAAAATTGGATCTTGGTATGTTTATATAAGGGAATTTAAATTCATTGTGTAATAATGCTAAATTGCTGAAAGCTTATCTTCTCTAAACATGGGTTTTTAAATTTCCACAACATACTGAGTATCTTAATTCCAGAAGATTCATTCCCTTAAAGAGAAAAATAGTGAATTAAAAATATGCTGATATTCACCTCTGCCCATCACTTGACAGGGCACGACTTGGTGACTAAACCACCACCGTCACTTGATATGGGCTTCCCTGGTGGCTCACTTGACAGGCCTAATTACAAATATCTGTAACTGAGATGTGGTATCAACATGTTGCAGTTCATGAATAACAAGCATGGGACTATTAATTCTGTGACTGTGGTGTTATTTATAATTTGGCTCCTCCTCTTGAAAAACTAACCTTAAATCTTGCACCAGAGGTTTTATGGAATCCAATTCCAGTGGCTGAAAAAGTTTCATCATTTCGTTAATAACAAAAATCAAATTCAACATTTATTTAGCACCTACTATATGCACGCCACTGGATTAAGCACTGTAATAATGAATGTATTTTTCTGGGTCCCCACTCAAGACAATGGCCTGGCAAGACTCTTAGAAACTCAGGGGTCCTCCTGGCAAAGTGGGTGGCAGAGAGCAAACTGCTGCACTGGAGATGCTTACAAGACACCTGGGTGAATTCAGGACATCCACAACTGCCCCCAGTAGGCCAATAAGGCACAAGACTTCTTGAAAAGCTACTCGTGTTAACTAAAAACTTAATATAACTTAATATAAGATAACCAATATCAGATCTGGGTCAAAAACTTGAAAGCTGTTAAAGCTTCCCTATTCAACTTCACCTGTGTAACACTTAAAAAAAAAAAAAAAGCCAATTAGGTAGCTTAACCCACAAGCATTACAACGGTATTAAGAGCAGCTTAGGTAAGTAGTTCAAAACTATCACAGGGTTCTTCAATGACTCCACAGAAGGACTCCCAAATCTGATGGACAGAGTGAACCTGAATTTTCAGAGCACGTATGAGAGGGGGAGTGTTGCATCTAGGTTATGCAACACTGAAAAAGACTTTTAAAGACTTTTCACTTTCATGTAGAAAAGTCATGATAACTGCTGGAAATTTAAGAGAGAAAATGAACCAATTTCTAACCCTCTAACTGGAAGATCTAGCAGTAAGCAAGAAAATCAAGACAATTCTACAAATGACTCTTAAAATACAGCAGGAAAGAGACTGATGAGCCTCAACAATCTATATAGCCATGCATACAGGAATATGTCCCCCTAGATTAATAAACAAACGCGTGAATTCCAGCTCTAAAATTTCAAATCACAGAACCCAAAAGTGTCTGCAGTCTGTCTTCATGAACTTTTTTTCCTTTTTTAAAAAAGGAAAAACACCTTTCTTTTACAAAACCTTAACAAGGACGAAGCCCAGAAACTTTGGCTAAACACAGCCTAGGCAACAGGCGCTGGAGAAGACACGCAATTTTAAAAAGTTACAAAATGTCCCAGTAAGACTAGTTGATAAATTAACTTCGTTCTGCTGAATGCTTCAAAAACTGGGTTTCTGATAGTATTTTCTAATTAGACAGGCTTTAAGAACAACATGCATGCTAATAAACCGGGACCTCAAATACATGTGCAATGAAGCAAAGCTGATATTCCAGATTACATTTTAAATAGTCCAAAGAAAATGGAAAACTGCCACTGCAGGCTTGTGCAAAGCCCAAACAGGGAAAACACAACGGGGCGGTAGGATCCAGTACCCCGGCTTCACAGACTGGCCGCCCTTCCCTTTCCACCACGAGAACCAGAACAAAGTTCACACTGACTGAACGTTCAGGGTCGCGCCTGAATATCCTGGGGGCCTGGGTTGGGGGGGGGGCGGGGGAGAGGTGTCCTCCGCACCCGCTGTCCGGTAGGGAATGGATTCAAACGCCTCGGTCAAGTTCACGGCGGTCCCTCGCCCCAAACGGCGCGACAGACGTGCCCCAGGAACCGACGCCGCGGTTCGGGGAGCGTCCTCCTCACAACTCGGCTAAGCGNGAGGGGGCGGTGGGGCGGGCAGCGCACCGCGGCCGCCCCTCCGAACATGCTCTTCCTGAGGAGGGAGCCGCCGGCTGCCTCCCCTCACATCGCCGCGCTCGCCTCCGCCGCGCCGCGCTTCCGGGGAATTTCGGGGGAGGAGATTTGCGCTCTCCCGGCCCGAGAGCCGACAAGTCCCCGCCGCGCGAGCGACGCCGCCCTCGCCGTGAGGCGGCGCGACCCCCCGAGGGGAGGTGAGCTTCGGGCTACGCCCGCTCCGGCTCCGGAGGCGCTGTGGCTGCCGCCTCCAGAGGCCCCGGGCTCTCACGTCGCTCCGCCGGCCGCCCCACGGATAAATGCCCCTGGCCCGAGGGCTGGTGGCTGAGAAACCTAGAATAGATCTCTGGCCGTTGAGCGGTGCGGGCCGGAGGAATCCCGTCGGGACAGCAAGGCCGCGTCCACCCCGGGAGGGACGGAGGGACGCGGACCTGAGGCCGCGCCGTCGAGAAGCGCTGAAGCGGAGGCGCTCGCCGGGGAGCTGCGGAAGGCGCGGCTCGGCTCCGCTCCGACTCCGCATTCCGAGCCGGGTCTTGCCGGCAGCACGCCGCGCCCAGCCCCCAGCGGTGACCTCCAGCGGGTAGTGGCGTCAATGCAAAGCAGCTGGGGCGCCCGCCACCGCCTCCCGGCTCCGCCCGCCGTGGAGCATGCGCGGCCACGACGGGAGGGGCGCGCGGCCGGGCAGCCAGAGGGAGAACGACTTACCCAAGGCCGCACGTGGTCACTCCCGAGCCAGTGGTCTCTGATCTCCGGCCTGTGGTCACTGAAACCCATACCGCAGGGTTCGAATCCCGGCTCCCAAACTTAGCAGCTGCGTGACTTCGGTCAGGGCCCTGTCTCTGAGCCATTCAAGAGCCGGGGTTGGGAGTGGGGGGTGCCGGGTGTTACTGACTCGGGCTCAGTCCGTGTCGTCGCGCGCCAAGACTTGGAGCCCAAGGCCCGCCTACACCAGCGACTGGGAGGCTGGGATGACAAGAAGCCACATTTCGTGTCAGGCTGGGCATGCCCTCCTACTGTCTTAACCAGAGGAGGCCTGTGATGACGCCAGGCGCATTGCTGAAGGGCACCCCACACACATCGCCACCCGCTCACTGTGTGGCCTTGGGCGAATCACTTAGGCTCTCTGTGCCTGGGTCCCCTCCCACGATCAACTGGAGGGTGGCACCCCTAGTGTGCATCACGTATCCTTGAGCTGCCCACCTCGGACCCACCCTCACTCCCGCCCCTCCATCCCCGGCGGCTCGCGGTCAGCCGAGAGCCCGGCACGGCGGGTCCCTTTCCTCAGCCGCCTTCCACACCTTTCCTAGCGCGGCCCTGGAACGACCCTGAGGTGCCGCCCGCTCCCGCCTTGGTCCCGGCTACTATGAAGACCTGGAGGCGTATTCCGGGCTGGAGTCCCTGCTGCGGCGCTGGCACTGCCGCAGGGGCTCCAGCGCCGGGTTCCCTGCGGTGGCTCAGACTTAAGGGTGCCAGGGAACCTAAGATCCACAGCCCCTCGCGCCCCCTGCAGCAGGGATCTTTAGGGCCCGAGGTGGGCACCGGGCAGTTCCCCGAGGGCAGCCGAGCAGAAAGGCCTGGTAACCGGGGAGTAGCTTCCCACTACCAGCCCTCTTTACTAGCCTAGCTGGCCCAAGCCACTGGCACATGACTTACATTATCAAGTTTAAGCACATTTAGCAATAATCATAATACGCCTCCCTGCTTTATAAAAGTACCAACGGCTCAATGACGATGTCTTAAAAGACACAAGGGAAGATTTTTACTATCACCAGTAATTCTACCAAAACTGCAGTGTTTTCTGCCTCTGTGCTGCTGGATTTAGAAGGTAATTTTTCCAAGCAGAACCTTGACTCTTCTAAATAAAGAGTAATTGGTGAAGAAAATCCTTTGAACCATCAGAGTTTGAAAGTCTGTCTCAGACCCTCTGTCCTCCGTGCCCTGCCTCACTGAGAAGTCTGGCCTTGACAACTCCCAGCACTGACCCTGCCTCCTTCTGGCATTCCAGGGTGCCTCTTGGGCCCACCTTCGAATACAGGACATTGTTGTCCTGGCCTCTCTCTGGAAATCCTTGAGCCCTGCTCTAATTAGGGGTGAGGACACTTACCCCCAGCTGACCCTGATCCCCTTGCTGGCCTCCGGCGCTGCCTTGTGCTGTCCTGAGCTGGTCACTTACCCTCTTTTCTCAGAGAACTGTTGCATAGGCACATTAACTGATTTCCAGGTCTGCAATTTAGGAACACTAAACTTAGAGACCTAAAACCAAGAATGAAGTAGGAGCAGGCAGGAATGGTGGGAGTCATTTGCCTACTTCTGGGGTCACAAGGAGCAACCCCCCACTCACATTCATCCATACTCTGGAACTCAGCCTGGGACACTCCAGGAAGTCACAGCTTCCCCCCTCACCTCAGCTTCGACTGCCTAACACCAATTCCACCACAGCCCTCCTTCCCTGGCCGTCATCTGAACCTCAAAGTCCCTGAACACTTCTCTACCCAGTTTCCCCAGACCTCAGTGACAAGGGACACAAAAGGAGTCACAGTGACAGAACTAACCCAAACCTCACTGGCATGTGCCACTCACTTGCTCACCCAGGACTCCTGAGCCCCTGTGAAGAAGCCCTCCACGTGGATGTGTGGAGAGCGCACACACACAACCCCACTCCTGCTGCAGGAGAGGCACCCCCAGCCATGTGGGTACCTGGAAGTTGGTGACATGCTGGAAAATATACTCCCCCACCACCCCAATCCATTCTCCCCCCAACTGCAGGGACCCCCAAACAGGACTGCTTGACCCCTCACCAGGCTCACACTTGTCACTGAATGTCGACTTCAGTACTTATTCTGCATGAGGTCAATGGGACTAGGAAAGGACTCAGCCAAGGGACAGAGGCCAGCCTGGCACCCCCACCCCCACCCCATCCCCACACACAGGCCATTTCCAGGAGACTCCTCAGTCCTCTGACCCCCTCCCCAGTTCATGAGAGACATGAAGATGCAGCGTTCCACACAGCTTTATTCTATGTAAAACCCAAACCAACTTGGCTTCCGCGCCTCTTACACCTAAGCTGATCCTTTTTTTACAACTGGTGCTCCCTCCTTGCTTTATTTCCTCCTCCACCTGGGAGTCAGCATTCAAAGGCTGATACTGGCACCCAGTTTTCTGCTCCTCTCCTTGCCTCCCCACTGAACTCGGCTGGAAACAGCCATAAGCAGGAGAGATCCCACACCCTGAGGTGTGAATCCCAGTCCTGCCACACGCCCTCTCTCCAAGCCACTTTCCTTCACTGTAAATCTAGGATTAACGATATCTCCCCCTCAGGGATTAAATAGGCTAACTGATGTCAGATGCCCAGAATAATTACTGAGAGCCTGTGTCTTAGCTTGCCAACTTCTCCTGGGTCCTTTCAACACCATCTTCCTGCAGGCCTGCCCCCAGAGTGCCAAAAACTGCTGGAGGAAATAAAATTACCCCGAGGATCCATACCACTACAAATCTGTGGCATCAGACTTCAGTTCATTTCTCTAAATTGCAAGATTTTGTACAACATGGATTTTTAAATCTTTTTAAATCACATTAATATGTGCTAGAAAAATAGTAAAAAAAAAAAAAATTAAACTTAGCATAAGCATATAAAATGTGCAGAGGCAAAGGAAAGCCTTTCTTCCTTCCCCACTCCCTTCCTTCCGTAGAGGTAACTATTGTTAACAGTTTGGACCATATGCTACCAGACCTGTTTCTATGAATAATCACACACACACACACACACACACACACACACACACACACACACAGAGCTATTAGAATATCACAAGCAGGGCTGCAGTGAACATCCTTGAATGCATCGTTTTCTGTTAAGATGGACTCCTAAAAGTTGAATTGTTTCGTGAAAACGTATGTACCCTCTCATCCCAACCCAGCTCCAAAAGGGATGAAAGGAAATGAAAACTTAGAGCCAGGCTGAGCTGAGCAATTGAAAGGGGGAACCCTTTAGCCACGCCCTCTGCTCCTGGATAGGGAGAATCCAACCATCCCAGATATAAAACCTCTGTTGATCATCCTTTCCAGGCCCCTGGCCGGCTTACCTTCATTTCTCTCCATACCTCCAAGCCCTGAGTACAGTGTTTGAATGTTCCTGCCTTTCTCGGGTAAGGGACTGGATGATCCGCCCTGAAGGCCAGAACCGTAAGGAGAGAGCAGCAGTTCCCATAGGTGAGGACGGCAGACAGAAGCCCCCAGATGCTGTCCTCTGACTCCACAACCCAGGTGCACCCCAGCACATCTCTCCTCTGTTTGGCTCTGGACCTTGGTACTCAGGATTCTCCTAGAGCTTAGAACTGACCACCCACTGTGCACCCTGTTTCTCAGAATGACCCTAATTCGCTCCTGCCATTTCAGACTCCTCCACTCCCAACAAGGGGGCTCAGCCTCCAGTGCTGGCTCCTGCTACCCTCAACTCCAACCACACTTTCCCACCAGGTCAGGGGGTCACACCCTCTCCCACCTACTAGGGACAGTCTCAGATTCCAAACACTGCTGTATTTGGTTGTAAACACCAGAGCCGCACTCTCCAGGTCAGCCAGTGTTAGTTGCTCAGTTGTGTCCGACTCTTACGGAACCCAGAGACTGTAACCCGCCAGGCTTCTCTGGCCATGGGATTCTCCAGGCCAGAATACTGGAGTGCGTTGCCATTCCCTTCTCCAAGGGATCTCCCCAATCCAGGGATCGAACCCAGGTACTTCTTGCTTCATTTCCCCAGAATACAGGAAGGGAAAGGGAGCTCAGATTAGGGCCTCAGATGCCACTAGGACTGTCTCACAGTCCTGACTGCTTGATTCACCAGACATAATTTCTTATGATAATGAAACCATGACCTTTGGGAGCTCCCATCTCTACCTTCCCAGCCCCACAACGACACTGTCAGTTTCCACTGCAGAGAAAGTTCCTTGTCCAAGGTTCCCAGTTTGGAGTGTCCCTACCCCCAGGAGCCCATGCTCAGAGAGGCCCCAGTCTTGGTTGATGCTTGGCTATGATCATCTTGAAATTCCTAACAAGTGTTGAACAAGAAGCCCCATATTTTCATGTCACACTGGGCCCCACAAGTTCTGCAGCTGGTTCTGCCTCCCTCCTCTGAGAAGTGCTTTGTTCAGGTGTGTGCAGGGGAGAGAAGAATAGGGTAGTCCAGCAAGGAAGGTGATGTCTCAGGAAAAATTCACAGGGCCTTCCCTGAAGGTCCTGTTGTTTTACAACAATGGTCCTTGCCTCCGTCTGCCCTGGACCCAGCACCCCAGCCCGGCTCAGCCTCTGGGCTCACCCTACCTCCCTGGCCGGTGGGACAGGCCTCGGGTTTCCTCAGGAATGGCCACCTCAAGAAGCAGGCCACAGGGAGTGGATAACTGTTGGCTTCCCCTCCATGACAGCAGGAGTGGGGGAGCAACACAGGGTCCCCCGGCCTAGAGGAGAGCAGTGTGTCCAGACAGCCCTGAGATGGGACCCTGATGATACCAGCCAGCCAGACTGTGTTAGGATTTCTGCCAAGCACTCCACGTGTGTGACCTCATTTATTCCAAAGGCACGGAGGTTTTTTACAACGAGGGCTGATGCAGGTCTTTAATAACCCAATACCTATCCTCTATAAAGGCTCTGAAAAACAGAAGGATGCTTCTTTAATATAATTAAGTGTATTTATTTCCAGCTAAGAGCTTTCAAGATATTTAACAGTAAAGCCCTAGAACACTCCCCAGGGCTGGGATACAGCAGGTCTACTCTAAAGAGAGTCCCAAGACCAAAAAGCACTTGACTGGAGCATAATTAATGGATTCAGAAATAAAATAAAGGGCAACCACCTGCACCACTGTTAGCTAGTATTGTCTAGATGGTCTGAGAAATGCAATGAGGCACGGCTTAGAAATGATAGCACAGATATTGGGACTGGAGAGAAAATTGATCATTAGTGGTGGGGAATATAGCTTTATATCTAAGATACTCAGTAATCAATGCAAGAGTTATTAAGAATAAAGATTTCTCTAAAGTGACGAGATTAGAAGTAAATAACGGAGACTTACCTTCTTTGAAATGAGAGGCTGAATCACAAAATGTTAGATCTAAAAGGGACCAGGAAGACTTCCCTGGTGGTCCAGTGGTTAAGAATC